CATTAATAAAAAGAAACAATTTTCTATTTCTTTTTCTATACTGGGTATTGACCTGAGGGCCTTGAACTTGCTAGACAAGATCTCTAGTGAAGAGTTATATCCTCAGCCCTCTCCTTTGTTGTTGTTTTGTTTGTTTGCTAGCCTTGGAGATAGGGTCTTATGTAGCCTCAGCTAACCCCAAACTGGTTATGTACTGGAGGATGACTTTGAACTCCTGATTCTCCTGCCTCCAAATGCTGGTCTTGGAGAAATCACCCAATACACATCTCTTCAGCTCTCCCTTTGAGACAGGATCTCACTAAGTTGCCCAGTCAGGCTTTGAACATGAAATCCTCCTGCCTCAGCTTCCTGAGTAGCCGGGATTATAGGCCTTATTATATTCTGCCTTTGAAACACACACACACACACACACACACACACACACACACACACTCCACGTCAACATTTCAGGGCCATCAGGTAACTAACACTCATCTAATAATTATGAACTTGTAAGCTGGTTTGGTAGGAAAGCAATCTGGCTGAAGCTTCTGAACCAATTTTCATGGTCTGATTTCACATGAAACAGAATCCTGAATTAACAATCACTGAAGTGTATGTTTGCCACGTTCCCTGTTAAAATTCCAGGAAAGAACTTGACATTTCAGTTAAGCCTGTGTAGAGAAACGTTCCGTTTCTATTGGGCTCTTACAAAGATAAGGGTAGCTCCTCCTCCTCATCGCAGGCCTGGGGCGGGAAGTGGGGATTTAGGATATGGTGGTCTTTGAGATTCCTCTTGGGCAGAGCCTGAAAGCTGAACTAGAAAATAAAAGTGATCTCCTGAGTCGAGTGGAGTTAGCAGGCCCATTAGCTAGCACATCAGTCAACCATCAGGCCCAAGCTCGAACCTCCCGTCTCTGCTGCTGTATTAGAAAATGGCTTACCCAGATGATCCTGGCCCCCATCACCTCCAAGCCTCCATGCTCCTCATCTGCCAGCTCAGCCATGGTTAAGAAAAGATGAAGAGCTCATGGCTGTAGGAGCAGAAAGGAACATAGTCTGGGTGCTGGGAACTGAAGCCAGAGGGAAACAGACCGTACCGCCACTGGCGTGACGGGTGTAAAGCAAAGGTCCTTTAGTCCACCTTCAAGACATGCTTTCATTCTACACGTGGGTAAACTGAGGCCCTAGAGTGTCAATTCCCTGCCATTCTCTCTCTTTGTTCCTTGACAACCCTAGGTCTCATTAACCAAAGCAAGCGTCCTAGGTAGGACAGGGCAAAGCTGGGTTTCTGGTCTGCTGTGCCTAGAAACTCCCAGGTCTGGGGTGTGTGTCCACTGAGTGGCCTGAGCAGCCTTTCCAATCTAATGCATCCTTTCCCTCTGGGTGGGGTCCCCAGCCTTGCATCTTGGCCATCAATCATTCAGGCTGTGCGTCTGACCCAGGGATCAAACACACACACACACATCCCACACACCACACACACACACACACACACACACACATACCCCACACACACCACACACACATACACACACCACACACACATACACACACATCACACACACACACCACACGCACACACACACCACACACACGCACACACACACCACACACACATACACACACACATCACACACACACATACACACACACACACCACACACACACACACCACACGTACACACACCACACACACACACACACACACACCCCACACATACACACACATCATACACACCACACACACACAGCCCCTCAAAGGTGGGCTTCCAGGTCCTCAGAGTGATTCCTGTCACCTCCACCTAGCCAGTGTCACTTCATTTTCAGGCCACAGACCTCATAGCCTCCTGAACCTCAGGTCAGCCCTCATGTCCACTATCTCTCATTCATGAGCTGGAGCCAGAGGAGCTCCATCACAGCCTCCTGGTAACTTCAGTGTGTGGGAGTCAGAATGGGGAAGAAGCAGAGAATCACCCAAGTTCTAGGGGGAAGAAATGGAGGCACCTTTCCTCAGGCTGAGCCCTTCATTTCACGGGTGAAAAAAAAATTGAGACCCAGGAATAGAAAAGACCTTTCTTAAGGTCACCCAACAGTCAGAAGCAAGTAGTATGTTTGGGGGACAGTAATTCTCTCTTATGCCTTCTGGTTACCACATCGAAGCCACATGGAGCTCCTTCTACTAAACTTGTACACACATGTACATGCGCACACACACATATACACATGCACATGTACATTACATACACACGCGAGCATGCGTACACACACACACACGTCACACTTCTGTACCTTTTTCTGTGCACCCACAGCCAGCTTCACCTCACCTGTCCCTGTCCCCACCGTCCCTGGTGCTGCCCAGACCCATCCCAGATGCCACCTCCTTCAAGCAAACCCTCTCTGCATGGTCCCCTTTGCACCACCCTTCACGTTGCCCAGGCTGGGTTAGTATTACCCTCGGATACCTCCTTCAGGAAGGCGGAGTTCAGATCTCCGAGAGCAGCCTGGTCTATGCCTAGCCTGTCTCGGATGTCCAGCAGGTATTTCTGGAAAGAATTATCATGTGTGTATACTGTCATTATGAATGGCCGGGATTGACAGGCTGTCGCTTGAGTCAGCCACCACGCTCAGCAGACTATTCTGACATCTGCGTCCGCACATCATAGCAAGCTGAGCACAGGCCCCATGTCACAGACAAGGAGAAAAGCAGCTGGCCCCTTGTGTCTGGGAGAGGGCAGCGTTAGTGCTGAGTGACCTCTGTGTTCCTGAAAGCCAGCTGAGGAGCACATCGGGGTGATTCCTCCAGTCTAAAGGACCTAGTGTCCCAGAGCCTGAGGATTACTCCCCTCCAGGCCCCTGCCTCATCCAGAGGCTGCCCTGCTGGTTTGCAGTCCCAGCGTGGCCAGGTGACAAGCAGTCTCTGCTGGCTACCTGCCACAGGAACACAAAGTACCTTTACACACAGTCTCTCTTTGTCCCCTGCTGGCGAGTGCAGAGAGGACAGGCCAAGGGCAAGGTGCTAAGGTGGCAGCTGCTTGTCTTGCCCGTGTAGCCTGCTCTCTTTCACTTGGGGCTTCCTACTGGCACCCCATTCCGAGGCTGCAGGCCGGACAGGGGGTGCAGGACAGACAAGGTGTGTAACCCTCTCCTAACCCAGAAAAACACGCAAGACGGGCTTAAGGCTTTGTGAGGAAAGTTGGGACAACCGTGGGGTTCTCCTTGCTCATGAAGTCTGGGTTCCCTACAGCTAGTCTTCATAAGAATTTGAGAAGCTTTAATCTCGTGTCCCTTAATCAAGACTCATTGAAGCCAGTTGTGGGGGCATACATTGTTGATCCCAGCACTTCTGAAGCAGAGGCAGGTGGATCTATGTGAGTTGAAGGAGAGACTGATCTACACAGTGTGTTCTGAGCCATTGACACAGTGAGACCCTATCCCTCACCCCCCAAAAAAAATACCAGGTGGTGGTGGCACAGGCCTTTAATCCCAGCACTTGGAAAGTAGAGGCAGGCAGATCTCTGTGAGTTCGAGGCCAGCCTGGTTTACAAGAGCTAGTTCCAGGACAGCTAGGACTGTTACACAGAGGAACTCTGTCTGGAAAAGCCAAAAACAGGAGGAGAAGGAGGAGGGGGAGGAGGAGGAGAAGAAGAAGGAGAAGAAGATTATTCATTGGGAGATGGGAGATAGGAGCTGGCTTGCTGTAGTCCCAGCATTCAGGAGGCTGAGGCAGAAGAATCGCTATGAGTTTCAGATGTGTATCTAAAGTCAACTGACAACCTTATCAGAGCCAGGATTGCATAGCAAGACTCCACCTCAAAACAAAATGAGACCAAAGGACTCATTGGAAAGCAGGCTCCCTTGCCTCTTTTCTTCCCATGAGTCAAATCCTTGACCCAGATGCTTGGGCTACCAATGTGTCAACTCTGCTTCCACCCTTGTTCCCTGCTGAGAAGGGGACAAGAGCTCACCCCATATATCTGATTGTCACTGACATCAGCTTGTTTGATTCTTGGGAGGATTCAAACACTTCTCCCCACTTCCTAGATGAAGACACCATGGCACACAGAAGACCACACAGGCGCCCCAAGTGTGAGTGGCTGGCATTTGAACTTTGGTCCTGAATGCTGCAGAACCAATTTCCTTGGGATTCCTCTCTCCCACCTCTACAGCCCATGTCTCTCCAGGGAAACCCACAGCCCAACACCCCATTGTGCTCAACTGTCTGGCACTGGCGTGTCCCCAGAGTATGGAGAACATATGGTCAGGGGCCAGCCGGGGACATGGCAAGAGGCAGGCTACCCAGCTGTGGCTTCATCCTGATCTGTCACTGAGGGCCACACAGCCATCTGAACCCATCTGTTTTAGTTTGCCTGTCTTTGCTGGTTCTGAGCCAGGATCTCACATAGTCTGGGCTGGCCTTGAACTCACTTTAACTGAGGCCGGCCTCAAGAGTCCTAAACATCCTTTTTCCACCTCCCAGGAACCGCGATTACAGGCATGCGCCACCACCTGTTGGAGTCATTCTTTGTGTGGTCGGTTTTGGGGTTTCCCCTCCATTCCTGGGGATTCTGATGAAAATTAGCCACTCATCAGATCACAGGATTTTGCATAGCTGTGCAGGGCAGGCAGACAGTAAGAGCTTGTTGTTGGCCTGTGGTCTGGGGTGGGGATGTTGGGAAGGGCGGAGTGGTAATGATGAAGAAATGACACAGAAACCCACAGGAAACTTCATCAGAGACCCACGGAAGTAACACCACGAGAAGAGAAAAACTTCTCGATTTTGGCTGAGTAAAGACAACAATAATTACCGGCATTTATAGAAACGGCTTTGAGTCCCCACCTAACTCCCACGAAGCCCAGCCATGAGTAGGATCTCATTAGCTGTGTGTCGGATGAACTCAGATGTTTTACATGATGAAAACGGTGAACTCTCTGCACCGATGTTCATTCCTCCTTGTCTGTGCTTTCTGGAGTGCAGATGTCTCTTGACAACTTTTCCACAATTAGAAAGCGTATTCCCAGGCTAGTGTTGCTGTGAAATTCAGTTACCTTGAAATTGGCCAGGTTGCAGGGAGGGCTCCACGGCTTCCGGGCAGCTCACAGCTCTGGATACACAAAGGGCTAGAGACGGATCGGGTGTCAATCTTTAAAAGGCAAAACAAAACAAAAAACTTGGTACATTTTTTATTACTTGAGTATTATTTTTGTGACACATGGGTGCACACACACACACACACACACACAGACATCAATGTCTGCTAGGGAGGGGTACCTATTGTCTTATTTTTATTTTTGCCCCAGTACATTGAAATCCCCCAAATTGTTACAACCTAGATTCTATTTCCCCCCAGAGGAGAAACAGTTGCTGCTGCTGCTGCTGCTCACGCTAAGAACACGGCATTTTTCTCCTTATCCTCCATGCTCCCCGCCCGCACCTGCCCTACGTGGGAGAAATGGCCGGCTGATAGTGTCCAGCTGCTAGGGAGATGCAGATGAGCATCTCCAATAGGGAGATGCTGTGCTTTGCCAGCTCAGGGGAAGAAAATAATCGGCTGGAACAGCAAAGCCTGGGCAATGGAGCAAGGCAGAGAGGAGGGAGAAATTCCCCAGTGTTGGCATCTCCCATGACGTCAAGGCAGAGTCACTGTGCCCGGGAGGCTCCAGCCCTCCGGCAGTTCCCTGCCTCTGCAGGGGCAGTTATATACGCCTTTCCTGGAAGAGAGCCCTGTACTCACAGAGGATCTACCCAAGACCAAATGGTGTGGAGGCCCAGGAGGACACCCAGCTTCAACATTCAGTTTTGAATGAAGAAAATGTGGGCTAACAGTTTCCCCTCCCATATGCCCGAGAAGAAAACCTGGACGGTCTAGGAAAGGTCTCACATGACCCTGGTTCCCCAGGTCTGTGTAGGCCAAAGGCCAGAAGGTGAGGATTAAGGTGAGACCACCTCTTCCCCCAGCCTTCTGGCCACTGTAATAAGGCCTAGGGAGAGTCTGTTTATATAATGAAAACTACATATGTAATGGAGAGTTTGTTAATAGCTGTTATTTTTTTAAGTAAAAATAAAAACAGGTAAAATTATTTTTAGGGACTTTTGTTTCCCCAGGACAACCAATGCAAAAATAATGAGCTCCTTTACATATTTATTTTGTATGAATCTTCCATACCTTGTGTGCACAATGTTCTCAGGCCAGGGCCGTAGGTCAGCGATAGGATACTTACGTAGCATATGGAGAGTCTTGGGTCCAATCCTAGGAACCACAACAAATGAACAAATATTAAAACCATTCTCTCTGTATCCCTCAGCTTGCTAAGTCCTTTCCCAACACCAATGGCCCCATGTGGCTCAGGGCTGCCACACTGGACAGAACCCATCTAGAACTTTCCTTGTAGTCTGCCACTCCTCACAGAGGAGATTATTTGTCCTGCTCTGACCTATTTGTCTTTGCCAGAAGCAGGATCAAGGCATCCCTTGGGCCTGGGTAACCACCGTCTTTCCTCGTTGGCCTGCAAGAAAGGTCAGAGCCTCAGGGCCTCAGAAAGCCCCGCCATTTTGCTGGCTGTGTGACTGAACCCCTGTGTATAAACCACGGAGAGAGGTGCTGCAGGGCTGAGGGAAGAGGCCGGGACCTGTCCCAGTTCCTGTCCTATAGACAACTCACCCAGCAGGCCTGCAGTATGGACGGAAAGACTAAGAACAATCCACACAGCCTCAGCACCAACTAACCCAGCCTGCCTGTCTGCCTGTCTGCCTTCCCCTTAACATGGTCTCAGAGTAGCCCAGGCTGACCTCAAACTCTCCCGGTAGCCAACCTTGAACTCCTGACCCTCGCGGTTTCGCCTTCTCGGTGCTGGGACTACAGGCTGCGTGTCATGAAGCCCGGTTAATGCCGTGCTGGGGATCAAATCCAGGGCGGCACACTTGCTAAGCAAGCATTCTGCCCACCGAGGCACTGGCCAGCCCTGCGGCTCACATGTTTACCCATCATTCTTAAACATGTAGAAGAACAATGGTAGGGCGCAGAGCCCTTTGAACCGCGGGTAAGAGAACGTAGGACCCAATCCCAAGGTCCAATTCTGTTGTCAATATTTAGAATTTTGACTGAAAGAGCCCTAATGGGGATACAGCAAAGTGTAGCCATTTGTTTAAGCTTAGTAGCAGGTTTGTGGTTGTCTGATAGATTCCTCTGTACTTCACTCTAGATCAGAGATACTTTACCATTTAAGTGTATTAATGTGATCCTGCCTCAGGCATGCAATTATTCTTTAAATGTAGCAAAATGTAACCACCCCCCATGCACACACATTTAATAAACCTTGCATCTTCCTACCGTTTGGGGGGTCCTGGAGAGGACCACAGCCCAATAGTAAACACTGTGCCTTAGGGGATCAGAGAGGAAGGGGTCAAGGCGAGTCTGGGTGGGGAGACTGTCCACAGCTCACCTGGCCAGGTACCGGCTGGTCAGGCCTGCCCCTGGTTCCCAGCCCCACAGCTGTCGACTCCAGGCGAAGGGAATCCGTTCTCTCTCCGCCTTGCTGGTCTTTGCCTTCTCACCTGGTGAACTGATCTGGGCTCATCCGGCCAAGTTTATAGGGTTCATCGCCCACACCCTTTTTATTTTAGACAGGAATTTCTGTGATGCAGACTGGCCTAACACTTCATATGTAGCCAAGGACGGCCTTGAACCTCTAGAGGATTTTGCTCCCTTCCCCTCTGGAGTGCTGGGATTAAAGGCAAAGTAGCACTGGATTGATTCCCCGTAGCTTTATGTGGTGCTGGGTATCGAACCCAAGGCTTCCTGCACGCCAGGCAGTCACTTACCAGCTGGGCCACATCTAGCCCAACTCACCCCCTTTAAATGTGTGTTTCCCCTAAACCTTAATTCTGCTCCTTCGAGTCACTTCTCCCCGTACTACCCTGGAGGCCAGGGTCACTGTGCAGGGCAGGGCAGGGAGGGAAAGGGGTTGAGAGGCTGAGGGAGACATTCATGCACCAGGTCCCACTGGGCTCTTTTACCCCAGCAAACAGGTCCTGTTGGTTTGACATTTGAAGAGTTTGGCACCAGTCCCCTAGGTTGGTTAAATGGTAACTTGTCTTGGTGACAAGGAATGTGGTACCAGCTCGGACACAGTTCAGTGGCCCCAGCTCACGCTATGAGCACAGGTGGTATTTCTTTCCCATCTCAATTTATTTTGGCTCTCTTTTCTTGTGGTGTGTGTATGCTCGAGTGAGCGTGTGTGTGTGTGTGTGTGTGCGCGCGTGCGCGCGCATGAGCACACGCACGTGCACAGGCATGTGCTCATTCCCACACACGTGGAGGTCAATGGAAGATGTTTTGTGCCTGCTCCATCACTCTCAGCTTTTGTCCCCTTGGGCAGAGTCCCTCGTTGAGCCCAGCACTAGAGGCTTTCTATCTTTTTCTGTTTATCTATCTATCTATCTATCTATCTATCTATCTATCTATCTATCTATCATCTATCTATCATCTATCTATCTATTATCTATCTATCATCTATCTATCTATCTATCTATCTATCTATCAAACCATCTATCATCTATCTATTATCTATTTATCATCTATCTATTATCTATCTATCTATCTATCTATCTGTCTATCATCTATCTATCAAACTATCTATCATCTATCTATCTATCATCTATCTATCAATTTATCTATTTATCTATCTAATCTTTTTGGTTCTTCAATACAGGGTTTCTCTGTGTAACATCCCTGGCTGTCCTTGAATTCATTTTTGTAGACCAGGCTGGACTTGAACTCACAGAGATCCACCTGCTTCTGCCTCCCGAGTGCTGGAATTAAAAGGTGTGTGCCACCACCATCCTCCCAGACATTTTTTAATTTTATTTATTTACTTTTAGTCCCCAGGCTTTCCTGGCAAAAAGGGGCACTTCTCTCCCCTGAGCCATCTCACCCGTCCCTTCTTTTCTTTATTTGAAGCAGTCTCAGTAAGTACCCAGGCTGCCCTGTGTAGTCCAGGCTGGCAATCCTCCTGCCTCTGGAGTTACAGGTGTGAGCCACCAGCATTCTGTATTCTGTCCCTCCCCCAGAGTTTCCCCTTTCATAGCCTTCCTAGCCCAGCGAGGAAGAGCAAGGAAGACTGACCACTTAATGACAGAGCACAAGCACCAAAGGCCTTGCCTTGTGTGATTTCTTAACTGAGAGCAGCTATGCCCATTTTACAGGAGGCACAACCGAGGCGGAGAGTTGTGAGGTCACTCTCTGAGTCATTCAGGCCTGGCTAAACATGACTGAGCCGGAAATTGAACAGTCTAGGGCAGAACCTGGGGCTTCCCCTGATGTTGGAGACAAGGTCTGGCTTCCAAAGAGCAAATGTTCTTGGTGGGGCCTGGGGTACGGTCATATGCCAAACAAGAGCCAAGTCTCCCTCTGTTCTGCACCCCAGGGCCTCATCACCTCCCACCCAATGTCCTAAGAGACAGGACATCCTTTAGTAGACAAAGGAAGACAATACGGGGGGGGGGAGGGGCTTTGTGCCAAGTGTCACAGAAGGTCAGCCCCAGAGACGTGTCTGGACACAAAACCCAAATTTCCTTTTTTTCTTTTTTTTATTTGTGGCTGGGCAGTGGTGGCATATGCCTTTAATCCAAGCACTAAGGAGGCAGAGGCAGAGGCAGGCAGATCTCTGAGATTGAGGCCAGCCTGGTCTACAGAGTGAGTTCCAGGATAGCCAGGACTACACCAGGAAACCCTGTCTTGAAAACCATGCATATATCGTGGGTGTGGGTACACACGTGCTCATACACAAATCTCAGTGTACACACACGGGTCTCAGTGTACAACTCTGCGGACCCAGCTCTCTCCTTCCACCTTTATGTGGACTCAGGGCATTAAGCTCGGGTTGCCAGGCTTACACGGTGAGCACACCTGCCGAACCATCTCTCTGACCCCACTCCTGTGTTTTTGAGACAGGATGTCGTGCAGCCCTGGCTCTCCTGGAACTCGCTGTAGCTGAGGATGACCCTGAGTTAGCTTTCTGATCCTCCTGCCTCCACCTCCTCAGGGCTTGGATAACATACTACATGGTGCTGAAAACTAAACCCAGGACTTCATGCGTGCTAAACCAGCGCTCAACCCAGGGCTTCACACGCCTAGTCAAGCACTCTAGGGACGGTCTTACAATCCCCTTCTACCTCCTCTCCCGTCCTCTCTCCTCTTTCTTTTTCTTCTTTTCTTTTCAGGGGGTGGGGGACAACACACACATGTGTGAGCCACAGAGGATTTGCGGGAGTCCGAGGACAGCTTGCAGGAGTTGGTTCTCTGCTTCCACCATGTGGGGCTCAGGGTCCAAACTCGTTCCAAGGCTCCAGCTCCCCACAAATCCTTGCATCAACCTCTGTAGCAGGCACCTTGACTTGCTGAGCCAGCTCTCCAGTCCCTCCTTTCCTTTCTCCTCCTTTCCCTTTCTCTCTCTTTCTTTTTTCTTCCTCATCCCCATACATCTCAACCTGGACTCAAACCTGAGAGCTTCCCAGCTTGGTCTCCACTCTCCAGTGCTGCAGTAATAGGTGTGTGCTGCCATACTAGGCGTGAGATGCATTTTCTGAACTACAGAGCCACTTGGCGAGTAAGCAGCCTGTCTGGACCCACGGAGGGTTGGTGTGCTCCGAGAATGAACAGCAGTCTTAACCTTGCTGGCTGTGATCAAGCAGCCATTTCTCTGGTAGATACGTCCTGTCACCGTGTACCTTCCTGCCCAACCTCAATTGGTGCCAGTCCTATAGTGAGGTGAAAGGGAGAAAGGCTGCCATGCCAGGTGAGCAGAGGACTTTATCCCTGGCACCTTGAGACTTAGAGATGAGGTGCTGACCACCCCCCCTACCCCCCCCCCCCGTGACTCACTTTCCCTCAGAGACCCAGCTGTGACTCACTTTTCTTCTTGATTCCCTGACAATACTACCTTCCTTAGTGGGTCTTGAGAAGGAGCGTGTGAAAGAGCCCTGGGTGGGGCCTGGCACACACTGGGTACTCGGCAGCTCCGCCCGGGCCTCTCTGTGATTCTCTGTCAGCCTCAGAGGAGCAGGTGACCCAGGATTCCCCACGAGAGACAGGGCGTGCTCGTCTTTCCCCGTGGGGCCCCTGGATGCCATGCTGGCTGGCGGTGTCTTTACTGAAGGATTTTCAGAGGCCAGTGGGAGGTGGATCCAGGGTCACGGGGAGGTTGAGCCAAGGACAGCTGCCCACAGCAGGCCGCAGCCTGGCCCTCACTATCCTGCGAGCTGATTTGGTTGCCATGTGAGACCTTGTTATGTAAATCAGCGCGGGGTAAGCTCACTCAAGCCTAAGAAATAGGAATTTCTCCACCCACCCCCACTCCATGGTTTTTAACCAGCTCCAGGTGCGTGGCAAGGCCAGAGCAGGTGGCCTGAGAGAGAAATGTTGGGCTCTCCCCCAGATGTGTTCACAGCGAAGCTGCCGGGCCCCACACACCTGGAGCCACCTGTCTGAGGGTGGAGACACAAGGTCCATTACACTATGAGTGGAGAGCCTCCCGCTGCCTTTGACCCAATTCCTCCCTCTCTGAGACAAAGGGAAAGAGTGGGGCTGACTTCCAGAGCCCAAGGCTTGACTACCATCTTTGTATGGGTTCAGTTAGTTCTGGAAGGCAGCCAACACTCCCTTCCGCTGAGAGAGAATGAGTGTGGCTCAGGTGTGCAAAGTTTGCTTCTGGGGTCTTGGCAGGGACATTCCTGCACATGAGACTTCTAGTTTTACTGTCTTCCTATGACTGCTTCCTCCAGGGCACCCAGTGGGTGACTCTGCCACCTCCAGGACCCTGGACTGGAGCCAGCTTTATAGAACCGGTTTGAAACCAAACAATGCCAGATGAACCAGAGGTCTCCATGGGCCAAGAAGGGCAAAGGCTGAGGTACCAGGGCAGACCATGGTACCTATCTAGGGAGCTCATCCTTGCCTAACAGGGGGCTAGAAGATGACCAATGGGCTGTGAAGGACTGGAGAGCTGGTGTCTTTCCTCACCCTGGAGGTAAAGAAGGGGCTCCCCTGTGGGTCGGGTGGAGGGAAAACAGAACAACTACAACATTCTGGATGTTTGTGTTGGGGCGGGGTGTTCTAGAGTAAATGGCTGCCTTCAACCCTAGGTATCCTCTCCCCCAGAGGGACCTGAGGAGGGGGTGGCTCTGGGTAGAAACTGAGGAGAAAGGCAGAAAGGGGGTCAGGCCCAGGCTCAGTTGGTAGAGGGCTTGCCTAGCATTCATGAAGCCCTGGGTTCGAGTCCCAGCACTGCATACATTGGGTCTAGTGATTCAGCTGAAATCCCCGTACTGGGGAGGTAGAAGAGGGAGGTCAGGAGTTCAAGGTCACTACCCTTGGCTACACAGTGAGTTCAAGGTCACCCTGAGCTCTAAATAAAACAGAAAGGCAGCAACCTTACAGATGAACGATTTGAGGAGGTCCCAACCCCTATGAGGACAAATCTAAGGACAAAATCTGGTGGCAGGAGTGAACTGGTTGACAGACAGCTTGGTGGGCGTTTGAATCTATC